TAAAAGGTAGTAATCTAGTCATTGTATTAAATCTTTTTTCTCATATTAATGAAAAGAAATTGGTAAAGGTCACTAAATCCTATCTGCTTTAGTAAGTTAAAGTTGAAAAATACTTGAACTGTTTTGTGACTTTCAGTGACTTTGAAGGCCAACACTGTGAGGCAAAATCTTCTGTGTCTCAGAAGCCTTCCAGGGTGAAAAAAAAGTTAACACTTGGTATGGTGTCTTTCAATGCATTTATAACATCCCTAAATCTTACCAGGAACCTTAATTGTACTGCAGATCTTTGTACTGCTGACCAGGCGTACTTCAGGACTGAATATTTGCACAACTGGTTAATGTATCAATTTAAGATACCATTTCTAGTTTTCTTTCCATGTCACAAATACATGTGCCCTCTAAAGCTACTTTATTATTATATCGAGTGTTTGTTAAAATACAAGTAGCTACAATATTTTGGGAAAAAATGGATGAAAAGAATGCTTCAAGATCTGCAAATTAATAGAAACATATTAGAGCTTTGATATGAAAAACAATATAGCTTTACACTTGTGGTTCTTATATTTGCCTAATATACCTATGTTAATTGTGTTGGCATGAGGCTATGATATACCTTTGGGGAGACTGTGTTTATTTTATATTCCACGGTAACTCATCTCTTCAAGCAACATTTTTCTCCAAACTCTTTTATTTTTAATTCCTATCAGAGATGATTGTGGAAAAAAAGTGTGAACCCTGCTAATGAAGAGCTGTCTTTTTTATTCCCCCAAAACAATAACTCTGAGAGAGGAGTGAATGGCTTGATTCATTTCTATGGGTCATTAACTTTCACGCCTACGGATGCCAATGTTAATATTCACAATGTGAATTATTTCTCTACTGATCACTTTAGCAGAAACACACAATACATGTGTGTATCGCTTGATCTAACGCTATGCCTGGCATCCCATTGTATCCCTTAAAACTCAGAATGTCACTGCTGCCCAAACATAAAGGTCTGTTCATGCTTAAACAGCGTGGTTATGTCTTGACAATACAAAAATCTGTGGCAATCATCAACTATAAATATGTACAAAATGTGAAAAAGAACAAGTTTTAAAGGGAGTAGTAAGATGCAGGCTTCTATCTTGATTTCCACTTTCATTTAAATGTAGCTTACAGAAAATAGATGTGTTTGGGGTTTATCTAAAAGATCCTGTCTCAAAACTTACAGATTAAGACTGAAGTAGTTTGTAATTCAAGGATCCAATTGTAGAATTCAAGGATTATTAAGACAAATGCCTCAGATTGTTATTAGTGTTTTAATTAACCAACAGGAACAAAAATATATGCGTAATGCAAATTAACACAATCTAAAGTCATCAGAATAGGAGAATTGTTCTCAAGCAGAAAAGGGGACACTGAATCAGAAGGATATTGGCACTTTGATCTGGTTGACATAATGGCTTTGCTGATCTCCTGAGCTAGAAATGTTTGAGGAATTGGTACAGTTGTTAGTGTGCTCTACTGGGGAAGAGAAAGAACTTCTGAAGCAAAAGAAAAAAATCAGTAACTGAAATATTCATGAGTCACAGTTTGGCCCTTGATTCTATTTGTTCTCTCTGTTTCCTCCTGGTTTGCATTAACTTTCCAACAGTAATTTCTTTTGTTAGTGACTAGTGTGGAATTTTCCTAATCCTGAAATCTACATTAATTTGCAACATTTCCCCAAGAAATGAATGAATTTTCTATGGACTGTTCTGTTTACTTTTGCCAATACCAATTAATTTTCTAGTCTTTTTTTTTTTCCTGCAGCTTCATATTTTTGTGTGGTCAGAGATAAGATTTGTCCTCCCACAGTAGCACTTCATTAAAAGTTTTTTATCCTCAGACTTCATGGTACATGAAAGCTTTGTGCCATGTTTCCAATCGATTGTTTATTGCTTCTGTTCTCATAGGTAGGTAAGAAATATTTGCTTCATTTTGGAGTTTGAGGACATTCTGCTATTTCTATATGCCGACATATACTGTTACCTGTGTCCAGACCAATTTATCAGTGGGGTCATCTCTTTAGCAGCCTGCTCTTCTTAAAGTCAAAAAAGTTTGTAGGTTCATATGCCAGAGTGTTTTCTCTCAAGTTTCTTGCATCAGTTCTGTGGTAGCTTCTATTCACGTATCAAGAGTGAAAGGGTTGTGTGCATAACTGGGGAAAAATTCTGCTTTTTCCTGAAGTTTCAGAAGAGCAATAATCAGCACCAGCATTTGTTCACCCCATTTCTACAAACAGAGAAAATCAGAATTCAAACAGAACAACCAAAGACTTCATGTTCCAATTCTGGTGAGCTGGAGCACAGTGGTTACTGCAGCTTCCTTGCCCGCTGTTCTGGGGACAACCCCTAACAATTGGCCCACCACCAGGAGTGTCCATCTAACATGGCCTTAGCAAAACAAACTTAGTTAGATGCCTCGCCTGATTATCTTCCTGCTTAGCTCTCATAGCTGTGGCAGGAGACTGAAGACAACTGTAAGGCAAGTTTTGTATGGGTATTTCACACTTATCTCAAAGAGGCAATTTTCTGTCACTTGTGTGATTTCATTCTGTATGTACATAGACAGATTCCTTGAATCATCACATAAGTTATAAATTCCATTTTGTTTCCTTGAACTGTGAGTCTCCTTGTGTCTGGGGCTGTCATGTGCTAACAAGAGCCAGGAGATGTGCCAGCGTGTCAGTCATTACAAACTCTCCATCCTGCTCACTCTGAGCTAGGAGAGGCAAATGAGTAATGGGATCTTGAAAAAGGACAGCCCATTCCTCTCGGGAGGAACCAAGACAAAAGAGCCAGGTGGTAATGTTTGGATTTCAAAGCCAAGAAGGATTTTTGGAAGCAGAAGCAGCTTGGTCAGGAAAGATAACAAAGTGGTGCAGGGCACAGCAGAGGGGTCCTGTGAGACTGAGGCAGTGCGGAGGCAGTGGGAGCTGCTGATTGAAAAAGCAGCTGTGAGCTGGCAGGGGACAGCAGGGAAAGGGCTCTGAGCACCAAAGGGGATCTCATAGAATCTCAAAGAAAATTCAAGAGAGTAAGGAAATCTAGGCAAAAAAAAGTGTGTGTGTTTACTGTTTCATGTGTCTCTGCGCATCTCTTGTGGTCATTAATGTGAAGGGTGGCTGCTTTTGAGACAGTTTGCAAAGTCTGTGCATTACCTGATTCAGCTTCATGGAGTCATGCAGAGATAAATTGGTCCTCAGATGTTGGCAATGACTGCAGGAAGAAGCAAGTTGAAGCCATAGGGATTCAACAGCAGTTGCAAGGTCTCAACAAGGGTCTCTGTTCTTAGAAGAGATTGCCTGGAAACCCAAGGCAGATGCAGGAACTTCAGAGTGTTTTTGTATGGAAGCAGAATGAGGCTTTGTGACTGTCCCACAAGCATTTTTTTCAAAGCTGTAATATGTCAAACTTTGAATTCTTACCTTTACTGAAATGAGAGAGTGGGAGGAGAACAAAACATGCATATGTTAAGATAACAACCATACTTCCATAGAGGGCTCCAAGCATTGCCTGGCACACACAGCCACAAGTCTGCCACAGGGTGGGAATCGTGTCCCATCCACAAACCCAGAGGATGGGTTGGTGGCATGGACTTAGTGCTTCCTTGGTTGCAAAGCTTCTGACTCATCCGGAGTGAGAAGAAAGGGAGAATGAAGCTCCAGGCAACTTGAAGCACGGTCAGAGTAACATTCACTTGCTGGAAATTAGCATGTGCTGTGCTCGCAGGAGTCTGGTTATCAGCTTCACTTGTTTTGCCATGCTGGATGGTGCGATAGCACTGGCCTATATGTAGGAATAGCTTTCTGGGATGGAGTCAAATAGCAATTTCCTCTGCAAACTGATATAAATGATTCTTCTGCATAAGCTGCAATTTGTGTAAAGTGTTTTGGGAATGAGAGGAGTGTACTTTGCAGTTTGTTTTGGGTTTGCTTCAACTCGGAAAACATTCCAGATTTTTTTTTCCTGAAAATATATCTTAACTGTTGAGAGAGAGGTGTGAAGCTTTTGTGATTAAGGGAAAATGTTTTAATAGGAAAATTAGGAATTATTGTGATGCCCAGGTTTCAGATTTTTTTTTAGGCCATAAAATTAGATGAACTAGGGAGATTACTTTGAATGATTTCTACATATGTAAATGGACATGTAATTAACTATCACTGTAAAATATTAATGCATATTTACTGTATAATAAGTAATTCAACTTTATAAACAAATGAAGATTATCCCAAATTTACATACAGTGTGAAGAAAAGTCCCTTTATCCTCTGTAACTGTAGCATTTGGCAGATTTAGGAATAAATAATCTTTTGTGGCAAGGGTATGCCTTATCAAACATATGCAGATCAGTGCTAATTAATGCTAATTAAGGTTTCCTGTCTATCTAGTTGGAAAAACGTCCAAATGTTATGAAATCCTGTTAGTATGCCTATTACCCTAATTGTTTTATATGGGATGGTTCTTAATTAAAATATGTAAATTGACCTTAATTGCTATATACTAATGGAGGTTCATGTTATCTCACTAAAAATGACAAGATGGTGAGGAGGGATACTTAAACAAATAATTCCAATACATTTGTAAATAAATGACCTTTAGTCAAAATTATTTTTTAATTGGAAATTGGCAAAAAGAATGTTTTACCATATATGTTTCTCTTTAGGTTTAAATAATATCCAAATTTACAGTCCTTTGTAAATATAGATATGGTGACATTGTAGCTTAATTAAGCCTACTAAACAAGTCAACATTTTGCGTGTTTACTGTATATTTCAAAATTGTTTGCTAACCTCATGTTTACCTTCAGAAATATTGTAGATTGCAGCATTGATCTTAATTTGAACCACTTCTGCTTCAATTTTGTAATTTTGATCTCTTTTAATCGTATCACTTTGTATTTGAAGTCTGATGTACGGGTTTGCTGAGGACCGGACCTGTGATTCTGACTTCTCATCAGGCCTCGCTGTTTTCCAGGATATTGTGACCAACGTTTCTCCGAGGATTGTGCGTGGAGTTACTTCGGGTCCCATCTATGGCCCAGGCCAAGGCTCTTTTCTAAACATTGAACTGATCAGTGAGAAAACAGCAGCATATTGGTGTAAAAGTATTACTGAACTGAAGAGTGACTTTCCAGAACAAGTAAGTACCACTCAATCGTGAAGTATATTTAAAAGCCCCCATTTGTGGATCTGTAAAAGCTCATCTATTTAATGTTTAGTAAACAGAATGCCAATTTCTCTACTGATGATTGTTATTAAAAAATAAACAAACAAAACAAACAAAACAAAACAAAACAGAAAAGCTCATCCAAATAATTTTTATGACAGCAAATGCTGTGAAATCTTTTTTCCACAAACAGAGGACAATTGCTTTCAGTTAGGCTGATGTTTATGTTCAGGTATGTAATAAGGAAGGAGTTGATCCCAGTATGGATGCTTATCAAGCGCTTCTGTGAATAAGTTTGTATTTAAGATCATATTTAAAGATGAAACCTATAGTATTCATTTTCATTGTGAATTGAATTTGATTGTGAAAGCAGTCTTTATTCTTTTCATTGTTAATCCAAATATGAAAGATAAGTAATTGCCTGCTTTAGGAGGAAAGAAACAACACTGACTTGAAGTTAACTTTGCTACAGGGAGAGAGGTTTTTTAGAGCCTTCTTGGCTATGGGGAATATCTGTCTAGAAGGTAATAATGAAAGTTGTGAGCAGTGATGCCAGCTAGCTCCAGTTCTACTGAATAAGAACAGCAAGGTGGAAAGTAAAATTCACCTCAATCATCATCTCAAATGGTAAAGCTTGAAATCCCACAGCCTGGGTCTCTTCTGTCTTTAAATTATTACCTCTGTGGTTCAGCTACGAACAAAATAAGAGAACATTCCTGAGTACATCATGGCATATAAGTAGTCAGATTTTTCTCTTCTTCCTGAAGTTGAAATAAGAGTGCTTAAACACATTTTATTGACAGTAGAGGTTAAACGCTGCATGTATAGTATGTCCTACTTCATTATACGTGGGCTGTGTGCTGCTTTGCTCAGGTTCACATCACTTTATTTACCATGGCTGGGCTTTGTGATAGTGAAAGTGTGAACCAAAGGATAATGCTGTAATTCTCTGACTTTAACACCCTTTGTCTAAGTCCCGGATATTGCAGGTGGGCAGACTGCTGTGGGAATGGTCTCCTATTGCAGTCTTCACCAAAATTCTCTCATGGAACTTTGTGCTTTTCACTAAATTCTTTTCTTCCGTGAGTGAAAGCGCTAGCAACCATTTCAAAAGGAAATCCTAATTTTAGAAGACCTAGCTCTGCATGTGTGATGTGAAGAAGTTCCACTCTTCTGTAGTTCCCGGGGTGGACATCTTTTGATCTTCCCTTTGGATGTGGATTATTGTGCATTAAGTTCCCGTTTGCTGTGGCTGCTGCTGTGGATTTCGTGGGGCTGATATTGCAGTGTGGGCAGGGAACACAACACCCAGCACTGCACCTTGCCTTTCCTCATGGAGATTGTTAAAATGTGCCAATGAACTTAACTAAGAACTGCCATAACTGTAATGGTAAATTTGTTGCTAACTTTAAACAGATTTTTGTTTGCCGAGTAGAAATCTCTTGGTGCTTATTTTGAAATACTCTGAATAATTAGAGCTTGCAGTTATTATTATTATTCTAAATCCTGTTCTCTCCTCTAAAAAGGCTTTTTAAACTTGATGTAATTTGGGTTGTTTTTTTTTATTTTTTTTATTTTTTTAATTTTGTTAAAACTAAAAGAAGTTTCTGCCTGGGTGAGTTTGATTAACAAACAGAGAATGACACTTTCGACTCAGGTAAAAGCTAAGTGCAGATGAGGACAGTAGTAACTAAAGAAACTTACCTTGCTACAGTAAATATTGAAGATGAATCAAAATTGTTACATAATCACTTCTGCTCTGTAATGCAAGCAATTTAAAGTCGAATTTTCTGTACAAGTTAGAAAGATATAAGCAAAATAGTTACCTCATTGGGAGCCAGTGTTGCAACAGCATCATATTACGTGCCTTTAGGAAGAAGCAATCTGTAATGCAAAAGAAGCTACTCAGTTCCCCTAATAAGGCCTAGGATTTAAAGTAAAATTTGCAAGGGATTTTGCAAAAGAGAACCACCTGGCAGAACTCGATGGAAAATATCAGGTAGCTGTGACTTCTTGCCTCTATAGATCAGCAATTAGCGCCCCGATTGTACAAACATGCTGTCTGCTATCCTTTGGCAGGCGGACTGATTCCTTCTTGAGTCCCCTCTGTCTGCAGCCTTTCCCAGTATTCTCTTCTTTGACCCTGAATTTGAGTGGATCTGAGCAAAAGCTGTCCACAGCAAAAAGTTGCTTGTATACTACTGGGGTGTTAATTAAATATTTTAAGGGTCAAAGCAGTAGAGAAAGAAGGAAAAATGACCTGGATTTTGAAGGCTTCTTTTTGAAATATCATCAAAATCTTTGCTGTTTCAACTTTTCTTTTTTTTTCTTTTCCCCCTAAAGTTAATTCAATATCACTATTACTGTTGTTTCTTCTTCCAGAAAACCATAACAACAGAAACTAAGTAATTAGGTGTTACTCGCAGCACAGGCTCAATAAATGTATATACTTTATAATACATTAGATGCTTCTCTGTTTAAGATTTGCAGTTAAAGATGGGATTGTTTTCCTTCTGTTACTTCAGTCCTCTCATTGAGCTATGACTTTAGCAACTTGTTTGATACCACTTAAAACATATGGTTTTATTCATCATTGTTTATAGTTAAATTTTCAAAGTAGGTAGCATGAAAAAGTGTCCACTGATCTCCTGTATGCCCAGAAAACATCCTTTCAGTCAGAGAGCTGTGAAAGTGAAAAGAAAATAGGTCTTTTTCTGTTTGTCATCTCTTTTTTCTTTCCCAGATATTGTGTTTGCTTATGTATATTGGCCTGCCTTTGTTGTATCCACGCATCTTCCTTACATGGTTCACTGAGTTTTTTTGATGTGTCTATGAAATATTTCTATTTTTCTCTATTTTGAGAACCACATAGAGTATCTGACACTATAGGATTTATCATTCTCTGAAATTAATAATCAGATTAAAATTAATTTTTTTTTTTTAATTTAGTGCTAGAGGCTGAGAACTTGGCACTGAGAAAACTCAGAACAGTGATGTTACTAACTTCACAGTCTTAAATATAATAGGAAAATATCCCTTCTGAACTAGTGGAAAGCTGATCCCTTATTGGTAAATTTTGCATCTCCCTCCCAAAAGGTAGCAAGTTATTTGTCACGTGGTATATTAATCTGAAGGTCAAGAAAAAAAGTGAAGGAAAAATACTGATAATCAAACTTTTCTGATTGAATACTAATTAGCACTTGTTTGAGATAAATGTCTTCTGCAACCTCAAGTAGTCAGGTAGCCTGTTCTCACTCCTCCCTGCTGTAGGGGGATTACTTGGGGCAAGATCAATAAAAGCTGCCACCATGTAATACAGATATTACCTCAACATCATAACGAGCACAAGGAAGACTTCCCCTAAGGTCTACTTTGAGTTTTTTGAAATGGCCATGAGAGATTTTCCAAAGACTCAAGCAGACATAGCCCACAAAAGACCCATTCTTTCTCCCTTCCTCGTGAAGAGTTCCTCTTTTGTTGATGTACCAGGCCTGGTTTGCATGGAACTACCTTTCTTCATGGCAGGCAGTGTGGCACTGTATTGTAGATTTGTGACCAAAACACTGTTGGTAACCCACAAGTGTTTCAACTCATGCTGAGCAGTGCTTGCTCAGTGTCAGGGCCTTCCTGTTTTCTTCCTTTGCCCTACAGCAAACAGGCAAGATGACCCTGGAGGTACACAGCAGGGACAGCTGACCGAAACTAAACAGGGGGATATTCTGCTCAGGAATAGGATTTAGGAAAGGGCAAGAATCGGTAATTTTTTCCCTAAAGTTTTTGTTGCGTGGATGCTTCCTGAGGATTTGTTTGCTTGGACATGTGATATTTGAAGTGCTTTAGATAGCTGGACAAGAGATCTAACACTGATGTCGTAATATGTCTAGCTTTCATATTCTATTTATTGAGGAGTTACTTGACTGTACACTGTATTGGTGTACTTTCCAGACAAAATGGTATTTTATCATATATTCAAGAAGCAGGAGACTTAAGAAATATGAATTTGGGCAAGTAGACTTCACCCCGTGATATGATCAGGAACAAAGAATATGAAGGGCAAAATATCACTTATGCAAGTCTGCAAGCTATAATAATCAGTAGAAACTGGCTGAAAAAGGACTACAGAACCTTGCAAGAGAACTTATTGCTGATATTTAATATTCACTTACCTGACATCAGTTACAACGTAGTTGTTATCTGGGCTGGGAACTGTGAATACTTGTCATGGCAATAAATCTATATGTGCCAGTAAAACCAGGAGCTGTATGCACAGTGGAATTGGAAGTCTGGAGAATCATTTTTGGTGATTGCAGAGGAATCGGGTATATTGCCGGTAGCACTTTTTTCTTCAGAAAAAGCCTACAAACTGGCCCTCATCCAAAACTTTTGCTTATCATAGCTAAGCCTGCTCGTTTGAGTTGGTTAATCAGCTACTTACACAGATGTCTATTCTTCCACTCCCATAAGCAGGTCTGTGTATTTACAATACCTTGTAGCTAGTCAAAGATTTTAGGGCTTCATATCACCCTGGAGCCTCTTCAGCATTTGCACTGTGGAGAAAAACTTGAGGAGACAAATGTCTGAAAGTGGTGAAACACTTATCTACCAATTATTGTTGTGATGGTGGTGGGCACAACTACCAGAGAGTCTTTCAGCACCTTCCCAAACCCATAATTGGTACCCAAAAGTAAGCAAATTCATTTAAAAAATTTCAATACATAGCTTGTTTGTGTCTGAGCGCAGGCAGGGGAGGTTACAGCACTGCTGATAAAGGCCTTTGGAATGATATTTAAAGAAGAAAAATAGATTGCTTGGGAAATGTCATTCACCACAGGGCTGACAGAAGTCCATCACAAACCAGAAAATATCTGAGAAATTTGAAAAATGAAGAACTGGGATCTTGGAAGATGCCGTACTGAGTATTTTTCAGTATTGCTGTATTTGTATACTGATGTCCTAGAAGTAAATTTTTGATC